TGACTTTCAATATGTCCTTCCAACTTGACCTAACTTGTCTCTTTTCTCACCCCTTAACTCTTTGTTATATATAAGCTGAGGAGATTTTGTAAATTCTGGTTTAATAATACTCTGAGAAAGCTATTAGCAGGAGCATTAAATAGCGAAACGTCAGTAAAAACAACAGTATCGTTTTGTTTTTCATTCATTGGAAAATACAAGAGAGCCTTTATTACACTGAATATCATATACCCAATGCCCAAATTTTTTCAAACTGTTAAAAGTGAGCTTGGTTTGGACATATATAATATAATGGATATGATTATGAACAATAAATTTTGTTAGAAACGTCATCTGGTAAATAATACTATTACACTGTGTGATACTGTTTGATGTGGTTGTGTTCTCTGAGCTGGATAGTTAATAGACGAAGGGGACCTCTCCTTCGACTGGGACAACCAACTTTCAAATGTTAGACAGAGGAAACAACAAGAATGATATGGAATTTTTCGAAGTCTGCCTGGTATTCCAGTGAATCATCAATCAATAGACACATCGAGATAGACAAAATTTATCAGCCGATAACAACGAAACCTCACACAAATAGGGTCAAAGTTCAGGTCAAAGAAACAATCAACTCCAATAGGAGTAACCTAAAACGTTTGAAAACACACAAAAACAACCAATCAAGTCCAAGGTCAACAGGAGAGATGATTATTAAACCCGTGAAGACATCTGAAAGCTCACTTCAATTCGAATTGAAGTATGCGCCGAAGATATAGCCTAGTAGGGGGTGATGAAAGCTTGGTAAATTAACTCTCCAGCTCAGAGAACACAACCACATCAGAATCATCCACCTGAGCTACAAATCTTCTCTACCATAACTGTGTGATACATCTAACAAACACACTAATATGGAATTGCATACTTCTCACTAGGAGGTCATTTACTATCGTGGAACTATTCAGTCAAATCATGATCACAGCTCATATGAAATGTCATTATTGTTAGAAACAGATGATGGAGAGAACACGTAGCTCATTTGGTTATGTTTTTATTTCTCTTGGGTTCTTTGAGTTCAATTTGGCTTCATATCTTAGAGTTTTCCAAACAGTTCTAAACACTTACGCGGGCAAATGTTGTCCCTTATTTTACAAGTAGATATAAACTCTCATAAACTGGTTCAGTATGATTCTGGTATTTCTGTATCTTATTTGTCACATTGTGGTGGTGTGATACGGAAAAGGTGTGTTCCAACGGAATATTATTCTCACATATATTCCTACAGTTTAATACTGCATTAGCAATAGAATTCTATGTATAAGTATTTGAACATTCTATTTTGCGTCATTTAATGTAAGCTAAATTCACACGCTCAATGATTGGTTAAAGAATATGTATATGTCCAGATGTCATCTGTGAGTATGGATGTCCCACCTACGATAATGGTTGGAGTCGAGCTAAATCACGAATTGGTAGAAGTTAGAATAAACGAGCCACTGGATCGGCTCCCAGTAGCTTAATTTATTTTATTTTTGATTACAGCTTGATTCCACACCGTATTTTTGGTACAAGTATGAAATTTTCAGCATGTGATATCGGTAGCCAAAATTTCACAGGCCTACCATAGATATCAGGTGTGCATCGGCAGGGGATCGAACCCCGGACCATCTACATGGTCGGCGAGAGTCCTAACCACTGTGCCACCGACGCATTGCATATGAGCTCGCCTTGTAACCAGTGGGTGCGTACTGACGATGATTCCCAAAATAGGATGAAATGGCTTTCTAGTACTCGATGGTGGTTTTCAATGGTTCTCTAACTGATATCAATCGATGAACAACTTGTTAAAATAAAGAATATAAACTGTATAGACATATTCAGAACAAAATATTTAGAGCGAACAACTGTTTTCAATAAATTCTCTTCAGGCTCTACAATTATAAATCAATTGAAATAAGCATACAATAGCCCACCAGTAAAGGTAAATTACAATCATATCACAAACGTATTGTGGAACAAGTATGAATAAGATGGTATGGAACAGTAGCCAGTTAGCTTTTTAATATGCATGGTCAATAAGAACATATATATATATATATATATATATATGTATATGTATATTTTCCTTCACGTTCCCACTGGAACATAGGGCTTCAAGCTGGTGGCTTGAAGTTTCTGTAGCAGTGTTTGTTTTCACAGGATGCAGTTGCTAGCCCCATGCCAAACTTTTCCCCTTTACCATGGCTTAGCGGGTACAGGAGTGCGTCTGTGGCCACGGATCTAACCCCGGACCATGCGCATGGTCGGTAAGCGTCCCAACCGCTGTGCTATCGATGTACCATATATATATGTATATATATAGTCAACAAAATACAGGTTTCGAGAGTGAGTATAATCATGGCGCGTGTGTGTGTCAATTATCGATAAAACTTGAACAGGCGTTCTCAGTTATTTACCGCGATCCTAGTGATCTATCTAGAGGAGCTCGACTACATCTCCTTCTTTCAGTAGCTGAAGCACTTACAATCAATATCTTAAGACGAACTCTTTGTATGCAGAACAAGTATGTTCAACCACCATGTTTACTTTGGCCTACAATAAAGTCAAGAAATCCCCCATAAATATTAGCACTGTAAAAATTCCTATCACAATTTTCTTTTCTTTTCCTTCTTCTATTCCTCTGTTTCACTGACAAACGTTCATGTCTGACCTTTTATGATTTCATGACCTTTCGTATGACCTCTGTTACCTTAGAATTAAATGGTGGTTTTCTAACTTGTTATCGTAATCACAAAATCCTGTTTATTTCACTTCACTAAATTTATTATTATTATTGTTATTTGATAATGATTCCCTGATAGTACTTTTAAGTTTACTCACATCATCGTTATTATTTTACAATCATTCTTATTGTCTATTGAATTGAATTTTTGATTTTTCCGTCGATTGGTTGGAGGTGGCTCTTGTGACCCAAGTGGTCTAGTGGATAACGGTTTGGCGTTTGGAACTATGGGCACTGGGTTCGAGCCTCGGTGAGAACATCATTATCACTCACTGAGAAATGCAGGTACATCCAGATGACGAGTCCTAAATAGGACGACATGCGCATCCTGGATTCCACTGCTAGCCACCATCCACCAATTGTATACATTCTTATTGACGTTATTTGCAACCCTGAACTTACGTCTGGTTTATTTTCTGTAGTAGTCATATTGTCTCACCCACTACAGATTACACTTAACCCCCAAAACTGTACTTTTGTTATATATATATATACCAATAAATTATGATGGCGAGCTACGTAGAATGGAGGCCACATTGCAAACCTGACTGGTAGAATTCAGTCTGCAAAAAAGTAAGGAGTAGACACGTCACACTTGTTACTATTGCCCAGTCAAAGTATCCATTACAGTTCTACAGGAGGTCAATCGCGAGCCAGCCCGAATAGCTCCTCAGTAGTAACGTCTCTGACCGCAGCACTCATTAAGTGACGCTGGCTGGAATCTCAGAAGGAATATCAGTTCCTTCAAGGTTACAGATACGCCTTGTTGACTGACTGGTGAGCACGAAAGCTAGGTCCAAGGCTTCCTGCCGATTACCTCCAATCACCTAATATCATCTCATTTTATCTCATGTTCTCATTGACTATGCATATTAAAAAAACCAACTGACTATTGTTCCATCCCATCTGATGCTTATCCACAACCAATCTAAGACCAGTTTGGAAATCTTCTGCTCTAACTGAGCCAACATAAAGAACAAGATTCGGAATTTCAATAAAAATGGGAAGTCAGTCAGTCACTTCTTCTATGTAGGTCAGAAACTAGCACTGCGCGCATGTCAAGAAAATCATTTCCAACAAGCCACTTCAGAATTTTATCAACGGCTGCCCACTTCGCTGGCTTCATGCTTAAGATTAAATGACCAGGCAGGCAGCCAGATAGAATTAGTAGCAAGGAAGTATGACTGGAAACAAACCAACAGGTGAGAGCCGATAGCTAAAAAAAATAGGTAGGAGAAAATGAAGGTGGGTTGGGCATGTGCTAAGGAGCACGTCGAATGACATCGCGCTCAATACAGGCCATCTTTTGAGTGGAAGATGAAAGGGAAGAGACGAGTGGATCGTCAGGGCGAGATCGTGAGAGTTAGAGGAGTAGATGAGGGACTCTAGGCAATCGTGGGCCTAGCTGAAGAGGACATTAGCAGAGAGATCAAAGTGCAGATCTGCAGTTAAAGCTCTATGTCCCGCTTGGAACCCAAGGGCATAATAATAATAAAAGTTATCTCATAAGGGACATGAAATCCTTTGAGATCACACATACGTTTTGACGATGAATGCAATCAAGCACAAACCCTAGGTCAAGTAGGGCTTCTTGTAGATCGCTTCCAACCGCCTAACAATAATTCACAGTGAACTGTGACAACCAGGCAACCAGCATGGTGGCCGCATTGTAAATCTGACTGATAGAATTCGCTTTGAATCAAACGAAGGACTAGATATATGATACTAATTACTATATATTGTCAACAGTGTGGCAGGTAGGGGGGCTTCTGGTAGGAAGTCGTGACCAGCAGGGTACCGCAGGTCGGCCGTCAGGACAAATACTCGCCACCAACTACATTCGTTAGTGGTCGCGCCATAGCATGAATTGACAGAAGTTGGAATTCATGGGCTGGTCGCTGGACCCAGTCCCATTGGCTTAATGATGTACAAGTTCTCTTTGTAACCAGAAGATGGTTCTGGGTTCAAACCTCGACGACTGCGTACAGGTAGAGACAGCTATTCAGTACTCCCTGGTGGCTTTCCAACGTATCTCTCACCGATGTCAGCTCACAATGAAATCCTGTAACCAATCAATCAACTCCTTACAAACCAAATACTTGAATGTAGCATTTGTTTGGCTCTGAGGCGAAGAAAACACCGACAATGTCTACAAGACCATGGTGAATGTACACTTTTGTTTTTATCAAAACATCAACTAGAGCTAAAAATCATATAACTTATTAGATAAACGTACTTTACACTGACATTCTCCACTATCTGTAATAGATTGTGTTCCATGATAGTGACAATCACTTGGTTCAGGTTTAGTATCACATTTAGCATCCTCAGGTGGTTCATCACCCACATCCACAGCTAGTTTACATCGATCACATTGAGCGTCAATAAGTTTCCCGTCTTCATTCACTTTACATTTACAGAAATAGTCGTCGTCGGTTTGTGGATTGAAATGACATTTTTTAACAACGCTGAAAAGAAAAGGAAATAAGAGAGAAAATGAAGAAATTCTCACTGAGAGTACAGGATTGTTAATTGTGTTTTTGCTGTTAACCATCTCTGTAACAGGTGATGAAATATTTCCTCTTCACTAACTCATATATAAATATATCAATTTAACTTGTCCTATGGAGCCGGTCAGTGGCATAGATCGTACAGTTAGGCGTGTTTCTCGTCAGATTTCCGAACATCACCCTGCGTGGTTAAGCAAAGGACAAACAAAATCTATTCGCAGCGCTATTCTGGCTCATCTTGTGGATACAGAACACAAGATTGACGTTAACAATGCTTTCAGAGTCATTTATCACATACCTACGAATCTCAGTTTTGCCTAAAGAGTTCGACTACTAAATATTGCTGAGGCTGTGTGGATCCATATTAACAAGCCTAATTTATGTATCCAGAAGAAGTTAGTTCAGACATTGTCATTACCTTGGCCATCCAAGTTTGAATGATCCTGAATTTTTGTGGAATTTTCCTAATTTTAGTTGATATTCTATTCGCTATTATATCTTTATTACTATTATAATTGAAGCATCTTTAATGAACTGTGGTGATTCCATTGTGATCTTACTTTACAAATCGATATTATTTAAAAACACTAATATTGGTATTGACTACTAATCTAGAATATTCTATGTATATAAACATGCATATATAATTCTAGAGCCGGAAGAGGAATTCATCGAAAAGAATATTCTTTGCTCGATCATTTTGTGTTTAATATATCATGTGTATATTGATTGAGCAGTTTCTAGTCCCACTTAATGCCTTCTTTTTCTGTAATACAAATACAACTGTACAGCTTGGAAATGAAATCGTTGAAGAGAAATATTTCTTCGCTGAACGGAACCCATTCCTTTTCCTTATGAATTAGATCCTTTTGAAGTATGTGGTGAGAGATGGCTGTTAGTCAAAATTGGTGAACAATAATTTAAATCAATCTTTATATCCCCAATATTGGTCGTGATAAAAATGAGAACAAAGGCTTTGCGTAGGCGTATACAGTTAACATATAGATGACTGACATTCAAAAAACAGCCACAAAGAGACGAAAGGTTAACTTTCTGTGAGAAACAACCAATCAGGAGACGGTGTTTTTCTTCTAACAACAATCTATAATAATGTACATGAAAATCTATAAATATGTGTTGATTTGCTTAATAAAGGATCTGTTTCCTGGCCATTGTCTTCTGTCGTTACATTTGGTGTCGCTGTCTACCTACAAATGGAAAGCCTATGCCCTGCAGTTTTTGAAGAGGGAGATATATGGATCTTCGGGCAGGACTTCGAGGCTCCTGAGCAGTTAAGCGGCGTTCAAGATTTGTCAGCGATGAGGCTACTACTTGGGACGCTGCTGGGAGGTCGGACGAAAGCAGTATATGAAAGTGTGAGACGAAATACAGACGAATGTGCGACAGGTTCAGGCAAACAGTTTCCAAAGTGGGGGGGGACCACATACGGTCACGTTGAGATGGGGTTGCGCAGACACAACCACAATGGTAAACAAAGAGAAACAGGTGGACATCAGTGAGCGCCGAGATTCCAGACAGCAACACAAATGAGCAAAGCCCAAGAACCAAGAAGACCAAACCAACTTCAGTCGGAAGTCATTGACGGGGGGACGAGTGTGGTGAGAGCTGGCTGTTAGCCAAAATTGGTGGACATTAATTTACGTCAATGTCTACGTCCTCAATATTCGTCGTGAGAAAATATGAACAAAGACTGATTTTGCGTAGGCGGTTACAGTTAGCATACAGATGATCTGACATTCAAGAAACAGCAATAAAGAGATGAAAGACTGACTTTCAGTGAGAAACAACTAATCAGGAGACGGTGTTTTTCTTCTAACAACAATCTATAATAATGTACATGAAAATCTATAAATATGTGTTGATTTGCTTAATAAAGGATCTGTTTCCTGGCCCTTGTCTTCTGTTGTTACAAGTACAGAGTTGAAGATAAAGTTTCAGCTTAACAATATTTCAAAAAGCGGAAGTAATCGCACTATAAACGGTGTTATTACCAGTCACGACTGAAAAAGTAATCCATGTTGGTATCATTGCACCGTGATGGCAAGCCACCTAGTGGCATGGTGGCCACATTGTAAACTTGACTGATGATAGAATTCAGTCTGCACCAAAAATAGGACTAGATACATTACATTACGCTAGTTATTGACTAGCGTCCAATCAAAAGTACTCCATGTGTTGAATAGTCTGAGATCAGCTGAAGATGCACAGAATTAACATCGAGAAACAAGATCTGACAAGATTTTAAGGTCACCGCTTTATATGACGTATAGACTTGATACATCAAGAAAGGTACTCCCAACAGGCTACTGTTGACTTTCACCAACAGCTGCTTTAGTTCGATACTGAAGATCAAAATTGCCCGCCAGAGAGGATAAGTAACAAGAAAGTGTGGTGGCAAACCAATAGAGATAATCTAGTGCTCAAAAATATGCAGAAGGAAGATTAAGGCAGAATGAACATAGGCTGAGCAGACATTCGAGTGATACCAGACCCCAAGAAGACCTTCAGGTAAAATCAAATAAGAAGCGATGAGTTTTGCGTCCCAGGTGGACATGCTAAAGATCATGTGGGGGGGAAATGAAACCTTGGGGGTGGTCAAGTAGACATCTAAAAGTGGTGGAAAAGAACTGAGTAGAATGAGATTGTACGTATGAAACCCTGTGTTCTATCCAGTTTTCAAAGAGTGATTTATAGTAATAGCAATTTAAGCAGGGACAGGAATAACATAGTAATTGATTTATGCCACTCATTGGTATAAACGCTCAGAAATCAATGTTTCTGAATGCATTCTTCCACTTATATACAACATTCAAGTTCACACTCTGTGCCCTATCATGGTAAATTTCATATTGATTGTGAGTTGACTCAAAAGCTGAGTGTAATGGTGAGAGAAAAATGCCTAACGTAGGCAGTCGAATAATTTTTGACAGAAAATGACAAGTTTTGATAAGGGTATGGTGTCAAATACATTTGAATCCATTTACTGGACTATAGGGAACTATACACCACCAATACTGCCCACACCTTCCGCTCCTGAAAGGCTTCTTAATCTGAATCTACAATTCAATGGAGACTCACCATAGGGAATATTTAAAAACCTCCTCTCCTGTTCACTAGCGAAAACTTCTTTCAACTTTCTTTCTCTACGAAATGTATCATCTAAAACTCACCTTCATGGTTTTATAAAGAAGAAGAAAGATCCTCCGTCCTCAGCTAAATCCTGAAACACCTGATTGAATCTTGACACCAACAAACCGGACCATGTCCATGGTTGACGAGAGTCCTAACCATTGTGCAACCGACGCAACTGCCAGCCAGTGTGTCAGAAGAGTAATCGTCCTCTTGTCTGACTTGGTGAACCCTGCTGGTTATGACTTGTCACTACCACCTCGCCTCGTAACCGAAAGGTTCAGGGTTCAAACTCAGTGGACTGTGTAGAGTCTCAAACTTGGATGAAAAAGCCGTCGAGTAATCTTCGGTCATTCAGTGGTTCTCTGACTGATTTCAAGTTCACAGCCGATCGTGTAACCAATCAAATCCCAGCAAACCAATATTTTTGATAATCTTTTATACAACCCAGTAGGGATATCTAAGCTGCTATTGCTTTATCCACAATTATGATGGATCGAAACAAATTTTTAAGAATCGTTTTGATTTACTGGTAATTAAATATATTACAGAGGCATAATATATATATGCATGTGAAGAAGCCTATAATTATGATTTGCCCAAAGACAGAACATATGGTTTCTCATGACAAATTTCAGACTCCTTTCAGAATAATTTCAGAAAATTTGCGGTAGAATTCTGATGGTTTTTCAATTAAGACAGATAAAGATGTATATGCACATATATATATATATTCCCATAAATCCAAACCTCCATAAAGAACATAAATTAATAGAAGAAATCACCGCCTTCCCCTTTGTTGCTTAATTCTATGTTAAACATATGGTTATTCAATGATGTTTTGTACAAAAATACATAATAAGATTTTGTTTGAATTCTGATAAATATCTTAATATTTCAGGTTTTAGCAATTTGATCCCAAGTTGAGTGACTTGATACTCATTTTTGTTATTCGGAGTAAATAAGTCAAAAGGGTGATGACTGGTATGACTGTCTAGTCATATATTTACTGATCCTGTCAAAAAGGGTCAAAGAACACTATCCAGCTGGTTGCAGAAAGGAAGTAGTGGCCACCGTATGTAAGGAGTGGAATAATCGAACATCTCGTCAACACTGGGCATTCCATCTCAACAAACGCCTAACTGCTTCAAAGTAATCTACAAAGTGAAGAACAGTCTTCCAAAGACAGTACGATTTCGTTTTCTTTGCATCGCAGAAGCCTTAGCCATTCATTTGGAGGAATGATATGTATCCACATATACATATATTTATGTGTGTGTGTATGTTGATCTCTCTTTCTGTTTGCTCGCTTAGTCTGTGACCATTTCACTTGTATGAACTTGTCTCCTTTCACAATGTATATTCTCCTTATATTATATATAATATAATATGAGTGTTTGTTGACAGTCCGTTGCTTGGTGACATATATCCATATATGGTGGTTGTTGACATGTCTGCTATATTTCACTATGTATATATGGATCGATACTTCATTATAATTAGCCATTCATGTTAAGACTGTCTAATGATTGTTCACACCCTCGTCATATATATATTTCGCATTCACAATTTGTGTGACTTACACTTACTTACCACTTTGGTGTGATACCAATTATTGCTTCTCCTGTGTTTGGAAAATAGAAGTTTCATCGCAAACCTAGTGGTCTTTCTGATTTCCGCCTTCTTGTGTCAGGACTATTAAATTCTCGACCAGTACATAACAATAATTTGTCGACGAGTACATAACAAGGAATCAGAACTATGCATAGAAAAAGAAAATTATTCAACCACTTCTACTCTTATGGTAACAACTCCGTTGATTTGACTTAACTTTTGTTTGTATGCTTATTTTCTAACTACTTAATACCCTTGTGTAATTCCGTATATTATTTTGTTTCCATGTAAACCCTGAGCACAACTGTTTCATCAAACTATTCACGCCATCATGTGACTCTTATTTAACAATCATATATAACAACTCATCACTTTTTTTACTATCCTCTTATATTAAGATGCAATTCATCTGAACTTACTAATTGTATTTTCGTTTGACAAATTTAATGTATGGAGGATTTAATCATGAGCTGACATCAGTTAGAGAACCACTGGAAAACCTGGGAGTACTGGACAGCCGTTTCGTCCTAGTTTGGGACTCCTCAGCAGTACGCACCCACCGGGATTCGAACCCAGGACCTTCTGGTTACAAGGCTAGCGAGCTCGTAGACCATTGAGCCACTGAGACCCGATCCAATGGTCCTTGAATTCTAACTTCTGCCAGTTCTGCCAGTACTGCTGAGGAGTCCCAAACTAGGACGAAACGGCTATCCAGTACTCCCAGGTTTTCCAGTGGTTCTCTAACTGATGTCAGCTCATGATTAAATCCTCCATGCAATCAAACAAAATCCCTACAAAAAACCAATACTTGAAAATTTAATGTACACACACACATACTAAACAACCATATGTATTTGCGATTGTACAGCTATGAAAATGAATTTGCTGTCGAAAAGAGACTCTTCGTTGAACTACTGGCCTTCTGTCTATTAATGATCGAAAACTGTCAATTAGCTCATATGATATGTTTTTACGAGTTTGAACACGGAGTGGTATCAGTCGGAGTACCATTGATAACCGAGGAGTACTGGACAGCTGTTTCATCCCATTTTTTTGGGGGGGGGGGAATCGTTAGCAGTACGCACCCACCACCAGAGTTAAAATCCAACGACTTCCTGTTCGCTACAAGGCAAGCTGGTATTCCATTCACCCAGTGGGATCCCATTCAGTGGCCGACCTATGAATTCTAACTTCTATCGATTCGTGATTTAGTGTGACCACCAACCAGTGTCATCGGTGTCAAACTCGTAAACACACAATCTAATCCCTACAAATCAACTACAGAAAATTAATCTGATGCTCACTAGCGACTTGCTTCAGGACGGAGTCTCCTGGAGTTCTAATGAGAAGTTGTGACCAGTGAGGTCCATCCAGATGTCGAGTGTGCGGATGGATGTCCCACCGATAACATTGGTTGGTGCCAGTGGCGCTAAATCACGAATTGGTAGAGGTTAGAATTCAGAGACTAGTCATTGAGAGAACAGGTCCTAGTGGCTGAATGGTATACGAGCTAGCTTGCCTTCTAACTGGAAGGTTCTGAGTTCAAGCCCTCCCTGGTGGTGGGTGTGTACTACTGATGATTCACAAAAAAACTAGGATGAAACAGCTGTCCAGTGCTCCCCGGATGGTGTTCATTGGTTCTATAACTGATATTAATCCGTTAAAAACAAATCTAATCCTTACAAACCGACTCTTGATAATATGACATGGTCATCAACCGGAGAGAAAAATTCAAGGTATCTTTCATGACAAACCGAAGTCAGTCCAAGAATCATCGATACTCAGGGAGAAGTAGACTCTTCCATGATAATACTTCAACAGTCTACAAACTATCTCTCCTTTTAATATAGTTAGATTGAGTACCAGTTTGAAATAAACTGAAATGCCACTTACTAAACATGACAATGAGTCACATTAATGATTTTAAGGTATATTCATACGAACTGTCTGTGTAATCCTGACTACGTGGACAGGAGATTTTAGGCTAAACTCCACTAGCTAAGTGTTAATTACATCACCCCAGGGTGAGAAGAAACCATCAATATGGAAGGTAAACAAAATGAAATTAGTGTTATCATTAAATCTGAAAAAAAAGCGAGGTGCGATATTAGATGTGTAGACCTTACAAAGGTTTACTTTAGAATACTGAAATCGAACAAAACAACCAAAATTATCCATCACACCACATATGGTGTGTGTGGAGGTTAACATGAACTAGTCTGTTGCATGATGACTGGAACTTGAATCCAAGATAATCATAATATCCTATTTTAGACTTGTCAGCTGGATGTACCTGCAATGCTCAGTGAGTGATGGTGCTCCGGCTGAGAGTAGAACCCAGTACCCTTCATCCCAAACTCCAATTCATTATCTACCAGAGCACTTGGGCCACGAGAACCTCTTTTTGTGCGGCTGACTTCATTTGCTTAATGCTGACCATCAGACATTATTGAAGCAGATGAACTAGGAGCAGACATACCAGCAGACGCCCAACGTCTCGATCTAACCAATCAACGGGAAAGCCCACAATGACTTAAAACAGATAATATATCTGATCCCCGTGGATCCAGTGGTCTGGTGAATAAAGAATTAAGATTTGAAACGAAGGGTACTCGGTTCCAGTCTCACTGGGAACTCCACAACTCACTGGACATTGTGCATATATCTAGCTGACAAGTCCCAATTAAGACGGAATGAACATCTTGGCTACCACTTCTAGTTACCATCCTTGAAATCATCTGATGAGTAAGCTAAGTGTATTCAACCCTGACGTATGAATACAAAATAACATTACGTAACATTCAGCAGTAAATCAAAATAGAGAAACTAGGGGAAAAAACTTACTATGGTAAATTATTCCCACACATATCACATGGTTGACAGTCAGTAGTTATCAAATTTTTATCTGGACGATAAAAGCCTTCTTTACACTGTTGACATCTTGGACCAGCACGATTTCCAGGGCAGTTGATACAGTTTCCGTCAGCATCACATTTATCACATGCACAAAATGGTCGACATTTCAATGGATCTTCAGGATCTTTTTGATATCCAGGTGCACATTTCTGTAATTCCGAGGAAAAGAAAATCATTATCCCTTCAAAAAATATATCAGAACTAAATATAAATCAACCAACAGTTTGAAACTTTAACCTATTAGTACCGTGTTTTGCATTCGGCGCTTTAAATGACCTAATAGTGTCTTGTAAACTACACTGTTACATGTGGATTCGTTCGCTAGGTGCCTGAGCCTGATAGGATCTAGTGTTAGGTGGTTGGAAGTTCTCATCAGAAAATCCTGCATTTACTTTCCATGGTTGTTGATATTTGTTGGCATGGCTTATCTGCTAAAACTCAAATCTGCTTCACTCAGTACTACAGAATTCATGATTGACCTCATGTAGGACTGTTGTGGATACTTTGAGTGGTCGTTTTGAAGAAACCCATTTTTTTCTCTCTAAACCTTGGTGCTAACTTAATTCTATCATTTAAGTTTGCAAAGTGTTTACCAAGTTACGTGATTCGAGGGTGACGAAAAATACGAAATCTAATTTCAAGGATACCTGTCGGTTGACTTCAACCGTCTAAAATCAATTCAGAGTGATAGTTAGTAAATTAAATTGTTGATCGCCTTCGTAATTTGAATCATACTATTCTTGGAGTAAGCTTCGAAGAGGTTCAAATATAATTATACTTTATTTGATCTAATCCACAATGCTCAAACTTTTTACTGATATTAATTCGAAGAAGTTGTCCAGAAGGATAATGATGGCTTTGCAACCAAACCACTCTGCTCAGACAACATAAGTGTACCAAAAACAATCACTTTGGGTACAAAAAGGCCTTCATTATTTTAAAACCTTTCAGTCGTGTCAAAATACGATACATCGTGAAAACGTTTCATCGCAACAATATTAAAGTTCCTATTAGTGAAACGTTAATTACATTTTATGATCTAAAGGTCTTCTGTACTGTATAAGTGTTAGGTGACATAGTTGTCTTGAGAATACCAGTGAGAACCGTGTGTCTCACGAGATTAACACGTTCGTTGTAAGGTTGTTCCTTAGGGTCTACAAAAGCCTGATTCATCGCATATGGTCTTACAGCCATTACTATCCAACTTAGAAGAAAGATAATTTTCTTTTGCTTAACCAGAAGTATTTCAAAGTATTCTCCAATAATGTTTTTCAAGGTTAACTAAGATGGAATGAAATTTATATTTACAAACTTTGTATCTCAAGGTAATTATTCAGATCACAGAATATGATCCGCTTGATGGTAGTGAAGCTAAAGAAAATAATAAGGTAAGATAAGTTGTATGCAATAACTGGTGCGGCATTATGCTTTTGTCCAGCTTAAGCAAAATACTAAGCCGTATCATCCTGAAGAGAATCAAACAAGCTCTGGATGAAAACCTTCGATCTGAACAGGCTGGATTCAGGAGAAACAAATCATGTATCGATCAAATCGCGAAACCACGTGTCATCACTGAGCAGGGCTTAGAATGACAGTCACCTCTCTACCTCACTCATCTTCATTGACTTCGAAATGTCCTTCAGCAGATAAAGTCGATCGACAGGTGATTTGGCAACTACTTCGCTACTATGGGATGCCGCCAACGATTATACACCTCATCTAGCAGTTGTACGACAACGTTGCATGCCAAGTAATCCACACCGGCAAACTTACGGAATCCTTTGAAGTTAGGAGGTGGGTAAGGAGAGGCTGGTTGGCCGCCTGATATCTACAATGATTTTCCTAATTCTGGTAGACTTGTTAATGCGACAGGCAGTTCGTGGGCAACAAGGAAACAGGCATAAAATGAAACCAAACAAAGAAATCGGCGGATCTGGACTTCACCGATGAGATATGTTTGATTTCCAACAAACTGGAAGATATGCTAGTGAAAAGCAACAAGTTGACAGAGGAAGAGGCATCAAAGATAGTAAATCACTTCAAGTGAACGTAGAAAAAACTTAGGTGATGAAGATATCTGGCCAACATCAACAGAAGCAACAACAACAGACAACAATCAGCACAAATAGGAGAAATCTGAAAGACGTAACCTCCTCCACCTACCTACCGACCTGACAAACACCGCTTCAACTAAAAGCTTTCATAACCCTCAAGTCTGTGTGGAGGTAAACAGAACTCAGCATGAAAAATGAGGTCTAAATTTTTGACTCCAGTGTGAAGCCAGTTCTCCTTACTATACGGATCAGAGACTTGGTGCCACGTCGTGTCACGTATGGCACTTCGAAAAAACTACAGACCCTCATCAATAGCTACCTTTGCTCAGTATTTCTCTCAAGATCTGATGGCCGTCCAGAAAAGACAAGCAACAGCGATCTCCGGCAATGAATGAACCAACCCAGCAGGAATCATTTCTACAACAATTAATCAGGAAGAAATGAAGGTGGACTGGCTGGCCATACTCTGAGAAAACAAACCATCAAGTGAGTGACATCACACGCCAAGCTCTCTCTTTAGTGAAACCCGAATGGGAAGCGGCCAGTCGGTCGTCAGTGCAAGGGTGAGGTGACACCCAGGAGGTGATGTGAAGAGGAGATAAAAGCATGTGGGCAGTCATGGAGCCAAGTGAAAACGTTGGCAGAAAACCGAACACAACTGAGACCTGCGGCTGAAGCCCTATGTTTCTCTAAGAACTAAGAACTAATAATCGATAGCATTCAAACAAAACCCCTTCGAATTACCGTTCCTGTGCATTACAAGCTGAATTACACAGCCAATCTTTAAATCCATACAAATGTTGGTTAATCATTGGACTACGCAATTCGAAGGTCCCTAGGTGGCTTTCTAACGCCTTCAAGCAACATTAAACGACACTATTAATACTTTTCAAAGCCCAAAACCATCTGAAACTATCTTCCCATTAAATGAAAACAAGCCATTCATTGCAATTCTTCACATCTGTGAGAAAATAGTGAATGAAAGAGTATGCAAGTTCTTGAACAGAAAAAAAAAGGAATAGAGCAAAGCTTTACATCTGTTTCGCGTATATACTGCGTCTAGTTTACATAGCAGATTATTAAAATTTAATTATACGCTTCATTATATATATGTGTGTGTATACCTTATGGTGAGGTAAGTACGATAAGCCACAGAATAAGAGAAAAAAGAAGGCAAGAAGAAAGATGTTCAGATTGAGGTAATTTTTCTGTTATGTCATAAAATCAGAGCACATATTTCATAGTTATGTCTTTTGGTGTTTTCTTCTAAATTTGTAATTTATGCGAAATTCACAGACAAGTAAGTCTCTTATTTGTGTCTTCTATTCTACTTTATTCTTCTTCTTCTATTCGTGGCTTTATCTTACGGAATAAAAATCTGGATATCGTAAATCTGTGATAATGGAAGTGTTAAAAAAGGGTTGACATATGCTAACCGGTGATTTCTTCTTCTTCTTCTCCTTGTTGTTTGAAATTCATTCCAGATGTATCGGCTACTAGTAGAATATACGGCGAATGCTTCGTCCTATTTTCAGACTCGTCAGCCGTACATATGTGCACTCAATTAGGAATTAAAAAAATTTTGGGTGCGTCCAGCTGACGAGTCCTAAGTAGGATTTGAGTCCAGGATTCATCTTATAGTTGTCGTCAATAAAATAATACTATGGGACTATATACTACTAACTGACTGAAATGAGTAGTATTACACCACTCAGATCCATAAGTAGTATAGTTAGCCAGACAAAAGTATAGCTGTATAGCTCCTTTAGGATGGATTTCACCATTGGTGTATCCGGTTCGATTCAGTTCAGATAGCCGAATCAGTTCAAAAAGCCCCAAATGTCTGGCGAACTGCTAAGTCGGCTTTCTGAGATGAATCAAACCAGGTATACCACGGATGTGCTCAGTGATAACTGAGAGAAATAGCCTTGTCTGAGTTTAGATTACCTCAGTCTGGCTAGCAAGCACTACTACGGGATAATCTGAATGGTGTTAAACTGCTTATGATTTGCCGTTTTATGCTTGCTCCCTTGATTGTCATTTATGCTAAAACCTTATGAAAACCAGGGAGTACTGGACAGCTGCTTCATTCTAGTTTGGGAATAATTGGCAGTAAGCACTAGTGAATCGGCTCCCAGTGGCTGAATGGTATACAAGCTTGTCTTGTAACCAACAGGAAGGTCTTGGGTTCGAGCGCTGGAGGTGGATGCTTACTACCGATGATTCCCAAAAACTAGGATGAAACTGCCGTCCAGTACTCCCCGGATAGTTTTCAATGTTTCTCTAACTGGTATCAATCCGTGGTCAAATCCATAAAAACAAATCTGATCCTTAGAAACTGAATCTTGAAAAATCTTATGATTTAGCTCAATAGCCGCAAATTAGTCGTTCTGATAGATGAACCGAGTTAGAAAAAGCGCTAAGCTCCTGAAACTTGAAAAGCTTGGAGTTCTATGTTTCACTCTGAACGCACAAATTTATTTAGAACAACAGCAAAAATAACAGGTGAGGTGAAACTTTATAAACAGTTTCATTCAAGCATGCAGCAATCGTTTTATACTCGTCTGTTTATTGGATATATCACAGACAGTGAAACACTGTTATTGACTGGATGACTTTTCGAACACAATTTTTTGGTATTATTTATTGTTAACTAATGCAGTTTTGTTTACTGAATCATATGAGGACAGGTGCAATAGGTATCATCCAACACGCCTGTCTCGAACACCCCAGAAAATTCTCTTACAACCGCATTAAAAATGGGAAAGAAGAACGAGAAGTTTTTTAAAGTCTAGTTTCTAAGTGATGTAGTTCTGCCACGCTCACTGGTTGATATCAGTACTCACTTCAACCACTAGCGGTCACTAGCGTAATCGAAGTGATGTAATTACCAGATGACCAATTCGTTCGTTTGGAGTTGAGATCATTAGCCGCGTAGCCGTTTTAACTCAAGAGCGGGATCAAATTAGAAAAATAACCAAAATTCTGGGCAGCTACTTGGGAGAACGTGAATTTAGATTCGTTACAATCTGGATGATTCTGAATAATAAGTTGCGTTTAAAACATTCCACGTAAAATGTCCTCAAACATTAATGCAGTAAGTACTCTGTCTCACATCATTAAATGCTATATGTGTAAAAATTGGGCACAGTGATAGTAAGTGATTCCATATTAGTTCTATTTATTAAATGTATCACACAGTGAAACAGTATTATTTACTAGATGACAAGGTTTCCAACGAAATTTATTACTCTTCATAATCAGATCACTTATAATCACACGACTTCGAAACTTGAATTTTACAGTTTTCTTTGTTCTCTCCTATTTGTCGTCCTAGGTGTAGTGGAATTTTCCACAGATCTGAGACAGGTGTTGAATCATTCCTATTACACGGGTTTGCAGTTGATTCAATGAACACAGTTCCCGTTATCAATCTCTCCCTCCACCCTGTGACATTAGAATTTAAAACTGTCATCTTATCTCATCCTATTGTATAGTTGTGTGTGATTGCTCGTAGTGATATAGCTCAATTATTCTCTAGATTTCTTATCTTATTCGGGTCAACCAATCTAGATTTAGCTAGGTTTTTATGTTCGGCTAGTCTGACTCACTGACACCGTTCAACTAGTTTGACCTATGTATTTGACCTGACAATCATTGAAGGCAGGATATTAGATAAACTAATTTGTTTTGTTTTAAAGGCTCCACAGGATTGATCCTTTAACAAACAAAGCTTGTTTCTAATTGAGTCTGTGGGCTTGAATGCCAGCTACTTTTATTCCTGCCTTGTTGAGAATTCTTCGTAAGGTTTCCGAGGTCCCTTCCTGGTATGGAATTACTACCGTAAATTTAGATTCTTTATTGTTGATGTTGTCTTGTGCACAATTGATTTGCATGTCGTCATTAATATTATCATTATCACTATCACTACTATCATTATTTATTTTATTTTTATATTTCCCTACATATTTCCTGACTAATTTATCAGGGTAATCATTAAGTTTCAAGACTTCTTTTATGTGCATCACTTCCTGTCTTAGATTTTCCTTGGTACTACTAAGTTTTTGTGCTCTGTCATTTAAACATTTCACCAATCCTATTTTCACTGACATAGGATGGGATGATCAGAAGTCCAAATATCTGTTTGAATGTGTGGGTTTTCTGTAAACACTAGTGTTTAACTTCCCATCTTCTTTCCTTTTTACGTTGCAATCTGACATTGGAAGTTTCCCTTCCTGACTTTCCAATTCATAAGTGAATTGAATTGTCTCCACCTTTGAGTTGATGTGTCCGAAAAATCTATCAATATCCTATGTTATAAGTACAGTGAATGTGTCATCTACATATCCCCACCTTACTTTTTGGGTGGGGTTGGACGTTTCAACGGCTTTGTTCTAAAAACAGTTGTCCAGTACTCACTGGTTTCTTACCAGTATCAAACTAACATTTGTTATGGATGAAATTGAACATTAGATGGTTGGAGGCAATCGGCAGGAAGCCTTCGGCTTAGGTTTTGTGCTAGTTGCACTCACCAGTCAGTTTGCAAGGCGTATCTGCAACATCGAAGGAACCCATGTCCTTCGAGAGATTCAAACCCGTGTCACTCAATGAGTGCTGCAGTCAGAGACGTTATCATTGAGCTATTCAAGCTCTCGATTGACTTCCTGTAGGACTATAGTGGATATTTTAGATTGGACACTAGTAACAAATGTGACGTGTCTAGTCCTATCTTTGGTGTAGACTTCATTCCGACTGCATCCAACCATCTAATATGAACAATTCAAAGTACACCGTGATGGCGAGCCACCACCTAGCATAGTGGCCACATGGCAAACTTGACTGACAGAATTCAGTCTTCGCCGAAGATAGGACCAGACTCATTTGGCTAGTTACTGACAACAGTCCAATCGAAAAGAAAGAAAGAGATTTAATATAAAATCAATTAAGTTCCTACAAACTGATATTTGCAAGAGAAATGTTTAGCTGTAAAGCATAGGGCATCATTTGTTAAAATAACTAAATGACATACCTCACATGACAAGCCTTCATAACCATAAGGACATGTGCACTGTTCAATCTCACCAACCCATTGACCTGGTACATCCGATTTCACAGCATGTTCAACACGTAAATTGTACAACTCCAGACTACTCTGATCACGGAAATATTTAACTCGTAGACCGACTTTTTTCACATCACCTAAAACTTGCATAAAACCAGCTCGACCAATTGTCTGGTCGACTGGTTCTTTACACTCCTTATCAATATACCAACGTTCACGTTCAGAAAGTCGTATATTCACTCGATTATCATATCCTGTTGGAATAATATGCACCAGGAGACGATCTGTTGGTGGACACCAATATAGAGAACGATTTGATGACTGGAAAACAGAGAAAATATAAAAGGAAGACAATAGTTAAGTGTGTTTTTCAGAGTTACCTACTGAATGCATGATAAGATGAGTTCATCATCATCAAATTTCTGAACACCTCCCGCCTTCAAAGGGCGAAAGACTGAATAAAAATGTACTCAATTCAGTATTGATCCATCTTGTTGACACACCAGGCATCAGCTAGACACTAACACAGATGTCAAAACTACTTTGCATACCCTGTGAGTACTCCTATTGCAAACATTAGAAGTAGCCTTATTAGACTATTATTATTATTATTATTCCCTTTGGTTCCAAGTGGAACATAGGGCTTCAACAACACACCTCCACTTTCTGTCCTCCTCATCTAGGTTCAGAATTTCCCATAATCATTGATTTCCTTCTCACACGGTCTCTTCTGTATCAGCCTAGAACGGTGCACTTGTCACTTCCCACTGGGATTTCACTCGAGCAATGACCTGGATTGCATGTGATGTCATTTGACCGCCTTCTCAATATATGCCCGATCCATCTCTATTTTCTCTTACAGATCTGTTCAGTGATCGGCTTTTGCTTGTTGGTTTGTCCCTACAGTCTGTTGTTACCTATTCTTTCTAGCCATTTGGTATGGAGTATAGAGCGGAGATACCTGTTCATAGACGTCTGCAGCCTGTTGGAAATCCTTTTTGTGTCATTCTGGTTGAGTTTATGACTCGTATAGCAGGACCGACTTGACATTTGTGTTGAAATTGCGAGTCTGGCTCCTTATACTGAGTCATTGCAGAATATTTTAAAACTGGTTTCAGGTTGATAAAGGTGTATCTCGTCATTCTGATTCCGGCTGACATCTTCATCCACTCCTACCACCTGTGGTTGAAACCATGATTTCTGGCCAGGTAAGCGAAGAAAGAAACCTCTATCAAATCTCTCCCGTTGATGGTCATTGGCCCTGGTTGTTGTTGTTGTTGTGGTTCGTCGGTGAACTTCATCACCTCCTTCTTTCTCTATGTTCACCTGGAGTCCTGTGTTTGATGCCTCTTCAGCCAGTTTGTTGGTTTTTGCTGGTAGGTCTTCGAGTTTGTGTGACATTAGACATACAACATCTGCGAAATCCACCTGAATAAGTCAAACCTGTGTGTTCAGAAGAAATCCGTTCAGTCTCTTCTCCTGGCATGACCGTCTATATAATGAATATATAAACTTCTTCGAATGACCCTAACTATCATTTGACAAGGCATCATAGAATAAACTTATATGATAAAACTACAGTAATGCGGTATTATTTACTGACAAAGATCACATCACAATTAGTTGCTTATAATTCTAAGTAACGCATCAAGAAGTATAAACAGTGAAATGAGGCAGAGCAGAAAAGGAATCTAAGCCATATAGGTTAGGGAAATCAGAACTTCGACATAGAAATTAGGGTGCCAGTAATATCTATGATCTCACTCAGGAATAAGCTGTGTGGGCTAAAAATACCGTGGCAATACTATGAAGTAAAATGATTTATTGCATGGAGGATTTCATCATGAGCTGATATCAGTAAGAGGACCACAGGAAAACCTGGGAGTGCTCCACAGCTGTTTCGCCCTAGTTTGGGACTCTTCAGCAGTACGCACCCACCACAGGGGTTTGAACCCAGGACCTGCTGGTTACAAGGCGAACTAGTAGACCACTGAGCCACTGGGACCCGATCCAATGCTTCTTGAATTCTAACCTCTGCCGATTCACGATATAGCGCGACCGTTTCGCAATGTCTTCTTCGATGGGTTACTGCCTCATCTTCAACCTGCTGTACTGTACTGTACTGATCATGGCTTCTCACTAGAACCCCAGGTTAACTGCCTGAATATGGCCAGTCGCTAGTGAGCATCAGATTAATTTTCAAGTGTTGGTTTTGTAGGGATCACAACGAAACAGCTGTCCAGTAATACCAGGTTTTTCCAGTGGTTCTCTAACTGATGTCAGCTCATGATGAAATCCTCCATTCAATCAAACACAAAATCCTAACTAAGCCAATACTTGAAAATTCTGGTATAAATTAAAAACTCTTTCATGACTTCTTGTATGCTACTTTAAGCTCAAAGCCGAAGCTGTGTACTCAAATTGTGGATTATTTTAGATTTCGGATCAATTGTACTTGTTAGATTGTTGTCATAAACCAAAATCACTTAGAGAGATCACCTAAGAAAAACTAAGGAGCACTGAGCAGCTGTTTCGTGTTATTTTGGTACTCTTCATCGGTGCGCACCGATAACCTCGCCAGCGATCGAACCCAGGACATTCAAATTACAAGTCAAAGCTCATTGACCGATGAGCCACCGGAATGGATTCTATAGCTGCGTACGGATGAAGAGCCCCAAATTAGGACGAAAATGCTGTCGAGTACTTCTTGCTTTCCAGTAAGTCTTTAACTTTTATCGAGTCGTGATAAAATCTGAATTGAAATTATAAGAACACTATTGATAATAATTATCGGAAAAAAACTACTAAGCAATTCACATGTAAAATGAGATATGGTCCACGTAGATGACTTGAACTTTCGCCAAATAATCGAATATTCAATTTGATATTATATCCGTAAGATGTAACCTAAAATAAGAAATAATAATAAAAGAAGGATAATTAATCATTGGTAATACACTTAAAAAAAAACTTCAAATTTATTGCAGAATTTATATTTTTGCTTACTGAAGCTGGAGTTCCTCAAGGTGCTGTTCTCTCTCCGTTTCTCTTTTCCTTCTTCTTAAATGACTTACCTCTTTTAGGCGAAATCAACTTCGTCAAATATGCAAATGACGTGGCTGTTTCGCTTCCTGTTAAGTCTCAGTCAGACTGTTTCAAATTAAGTAGCTTCCTGTTGAACATCAGTCAGTGGTCTAAACTAAATGGCCTCATGATGAATCCCCCAAAATGCCGGACTATTGGCTTCTTCTTTAGGCATAAAAGAGGTCTACAAACACTAGTAAGTACTCATGAAGCCTATAGCATTAAGGGGGGCTACAACTGAAACTAAGTCTAATGCTAAATACCTCGGACTAGTTCTATCTTCCGACCTTACTTGGTCATCTCATATCCCAACGATTTTTAAGAAAGTGTTCTGTCTAACCTACTACATTAAGAAACTCAGACTAACTGGAATAACTCAACCTCTGCTTTCACAATTTTTCAACTCTCGTATCTTACCTATTCTACTTTACTGCTCCCCATTAGTCTTTCCTGGGTTACTGAAAAAGGACTATACCATCCTGAGAAGGATGTTGAAGGTAGTTAGTAAGACTAGTGGTTGGTGTAAAACTCAGTCAGCTCGTCACGAAATTATTAGAAAGGCATCTGAGTACATGCGAAAAATGTTCTATATGTTGTATTAAGGTTGATTTGATGGACTGTGGCGCTGATTAACCATTTTAAATTTGTTTCGTTATCGCTTGAACGATACGCGATTTTGCGTTGCGTGACCGTTTTTTTGTTGTCCTGCGTTGGTTACAGTGTATAGGGTTCTGCGTATAAGGCTTAGTCTTCTGAAAATGGCGATAGGTCTAGGATCTCTGTGATCTGGATATTTGTTATGCAAGCTTAACAATATGATACTGGTACACAGACCAGATGGCAGGCATATACGGCTCCTTATCAGTAATCCACTGTGTGCTTGGTAAAATATCAAGACCCATCAGCTACCGAATACTCCAGACAACAGAAGCTATAGCAATTTGCCTAAAGTAGCCTGCACTTTGAACAAAAAACAGTTCCAGCCAGTTTTGCTGCTTCAACCTGCAATGAAATTTATAAATTATCAAGTATCGGTTTGCTGCATGGATCTTTGTCGGTTAAAGGTTTGGTGATGAACTGACATCAATTAGAGAGACATTGGTAAGCCGAAGAGCACTGGGAAGCCCTTTCGTCAGTGTAGTTTAAGGCTCGTCAATAGTACGCACCAAATATGGTTCAGACACAGGAGCTTCTGGTCACAAGGCGACTTTGTAGAACAATCAGCTACTGCTGCCTTACTCAATGGCCCACAAATCTGAGTTCCTATCAATTTTTGATATTTGGAGTCAGCGCCAGCCAGTGTCATACTCCAGTAACTCTACGGTTATCTAACTCCAGGTGACTTCCTATATATAGCCGGTCTCTAGTGAACATTTGGATAATTATCAGACGTTAGAGTTCTAGTGAAAAGTAGTGATCAGAAGGGTCCATTAAGTCAGGTAGGAGAACAGTTACTCGCTTACAGCATAGGTTGGCGACTGCGCTAAGTACATTGCTTAGTGGTGAAATCTGCATTTCATGGACCATTGGATCGTTTCCCAGTGGCTGGATATTCTACCAACTGGCCTTGTAATCGGACTTTTCTGCGTTTGAACCTCAATGAGTACATACTGTTGAACATTTCCAAAATGTGATGAAGCGGCCGTCTAGTACTCCCTGGTCTTTTGATGGTTCTCTAAGTGATAAAAATGCGTGATCAAACTTACTCCTCGACGTTCCCAGTGGAACATAGGGCTCCAAGCTACAGGCTTAAAGTTTCTGTAACAGTGGTGATTATTTCTACAGGATGGATTTGCTAGCCTCATGCCCAACCTGCCCTCTTCACCAGTCTTAATGCCTGCTCAGCGACGTTCGGGAGTGCGTCGGCCGGGAATCGAAACCCAAACCACCCATGTGGTCGGCGAGCATTCTGTCGCCACAGACGCACATCGTCAAACTTGAAACAAATCAATTCTTTAAAGACAAACTCTTGAAAATAAACCTTCACTGCAGCTTTATTTAAGTATCACAGAAATGCAAACGGCTACCACGACTATACATAAATATTTACATGTATACATAACTGTGCTGGACTAGAGTAGGAGCAGAGTTAAGAGTAATTCATTCATGTGACAACTGCGGATAAACTATGTCAACTGAAGTGAAATCCCAAACATATTCATCCTAGATATCAGTCGCATACTGGGTAAGTGTGTGTGTGTGACAAACTGCTAACAGGCATTTGAACAAGTAAGCTAAAAAGAGTACACAAATTAAGACAGAATTTGAAACACTGGCATCCAGGTTACGTAGTAAGGCATGCGAAAAGATGTAGACCAGTTTTAGACTCTATTTGTGCAATAGGAGCTTCTATACGACGGCTGTTGTATTCAGTATAACGTGGTAAGCCTCCGTATAGATCAGAGTACATGATTTCATTTAATGTATACACTACTAATTGAATAATATCAGTAGTCGAACACTATTCATATCAACGAGTAATACTTTCTGGCTAGAGAAACATAATCTAAAAACACTGGACAGCCGTTTCGTTCATTTTGTGTCTGGTGCTTAGGTCACTACTAGTTGATATGAGCGATATTCAACCGCTCACATTATCCAGTTAGTAATATATAACGTGACGTATTTACGCTTGTTTGCTTGATGACCATTTACGGCATTAAGCAGAAGAATTAGCAAATCGTTAGTTTGATGCCATTCAAGCCGACCCACATAGGCAAAGACAAATCGCTTTTAGAACAATGACTAATTTGACCTGGTCTAGAAGACGGATTTCATTTTGTTTGAATTATTCTTGTTAAAACAGTTTCCAGGCTTCATACGAAATGGACGTATACACTTATGAACTGGCTTTTAAACACTCTGTCGATATTAATATTTTCAATTTTAAAGGGCTGAAATATACGCTTCCCGCACCAGGTACGATATGCGCGTCGAGGATGCATTTAGGACAACATGATGTGGCTTATTTCATGGTGTCTAACTGTAGACTCCAAGACTCACATGTCGCTCTATCAACTCGACTCGATTACTCCCCTCCCGACTCTCAGTGAGTGATGAACCCAATATCTATCAGCTGTAGACTGCGACCATGATGTTCTTGCATATCAAAATATATATATATCTTTGCAATACTACATTTTTTACAATTTGTTTAACTTACCCATGAACCTAGAAGACCAAAATCACTTTCAGCAAACGTTGATTCATCTGGAACATCAGGTATACGAAGTAAATCTTCTTCGACTTCAGTAACACCTTGACCTTCTTCAACACTACCATCTTCTTTGTAAGTGCTTAAAATGATTGGACCACTTTTCGAATTGAATGCTTTATCATGCTGTAAATAAATAAATTGATGAAAGTTTTACAAATCATTTTTATTATTCATATTAGGCTTTAAATTATTTAAAACTGTGATCAGTTTAATAAATTTGTTGGTTCCTCTATTCGATTAAAATCAGTTATATTATAGTGGTATGCTACAGGCATTGTGTTCCAAAGGAATGTTATTCTCATGCATTCCAACAGTTCAATCCTAAATTCGCAACAGAATACCATACCTAATTGAACATTCCATTTCATGTCGTTAATGTAAACCAAAATTACGCGTTCCGTGACTCTTTTTATTTCCTTCACGTTCCCAGTGAAACTTAGGGCTTCAAGCTAGAGGCTTTCCACTCTCCACTTTTTTACCAGCTCTATTACCGGCTTAGCAAGGTAAAGGAGTGTGTCCGTGGTCGGGGATCGAACCCCGGAACATGTGCATGGTCAATGAGCCCCCTAACTGCTGTGTTAGTGACGTTCCATGATTCGCTAAAGATTATAAACTCTATATGCATAAATAGCTGTTGGATCAGTTGAAAATACACCTTGGCCATCGTGTCTTGCCTTCTGTTGTTACATTTGATGTTGTTGCCTTCCGACAAATTGAAAGCCTATACCCTGCAGTTTTTGAAGAAGGAGATATATGGATCTTCTGGCCGGACATCGAGGCTATTGTGGAGTTGAATGGTGTGTAGGGTGCGTCAGCAAAGAGGCTTTTACTTGGAATGATGCTGAGAGGTTGGGCGCGAAGGCAGCATATGATAGTGTGAGGCGAAACACCGATGAATACGCGCCTGCCAAGGTCACGCAAATTGCTCTCAAAGTCGGAAGGACCATACAAAGTCATCGCGAGACGGGTCAATGTATATAAGCATCAGAAATGCAAAACAAAATGAAGTGGGTAAACGTCAGCGAGTTTTGGAGACGGATACAGCAAGACAAGCAAACAAAGAAACGAGGAATTCAATTTGACAAGTTTCGGGTGGAATAAAATGGGTGTCTTAGATTCCACTAGTGGTAGCTACACTAAAAGAAAGTGATCATCCAAAGTACCTGAAAAAACTGGATCAAGATCATATAGTTGATTCATATATAGAAAAATAGAAAAGTGGAAACTTAACATAAAATAAAAGTGCTGTATGTAGTCAAAATGAAAGCAGACAAAAGAAACCTAACATATGGTTTGTAATAAAAAATAATTCTAAGAAATCTTAAAGACAAGACTGAGAAAGTTCATGATTGTTAATGATTAATAACAAAAATCAAGTTATAGAAGGGAAAAATTTGTCCCACATCAAGTACAATCTCAATACTTCATTTGAATTAAGCTTGTTAACATGTTTTTTTTTATCTAGGAAATGATGTTTTCTAAAATTCTGTTGATTCTATTTCATATTTTTTGCTTCACCTACATCAGTTTCAGCTTGTCAGGGATTCCTAAACTTGTGGAACATAGCATGAAAATATTGCAGTGAAGTAATTTTTGAAAATAGGTCAGAAAATGACTGAATTCAATATTCTTTTCAATAAGTTCTCCTGATGATCGTACTGTATAATAGCCAAGGAAACTCCAGCTATATTCCAAATGGAATTGGTAGAGGCTAGAATTCATGATCTAGTCATTGATTGAGTCAGGTCTCAGTGAATGAATAGTCCAACGAGATCCACTTGTAAACAGGAGATCCTGGATTCGAGACCCAGTTAATTCGTACTGCCAATGAGACTAGGATGAGAAAGCTATCCAGTACGCCCTGTGCAGTTTCAATGGTTCTACAACCAATAGATTATAATAATCGCAAAATTGAACCGGCAATCGTGGAGAAACAACTATCCATTATTTTGGCACCTTGAATCTGACGGAGATACTCGTAATGATATTATACTCAAAAGTTCAACTGAAGCTACGTTGAAGCGCTATCCTATCCTTGCATAGTCGTCCAATATTCCTATTATTCAATGTATACAGGGCAGGCGAATAAGCAGGTTTATCCATGAATTTAAGACTATTTAACAGCCTGTTTCAGAAAAGGTGAAACGAATGCCTAAGACTGAAGGTGAATACTGGTGAAGAATTCAAAACAAGGAAAAAACAACTATCCACTGGCCCCCACCTGGTTTATCATTGGTTTTCGAAATGAAGTCAGCTCATTGTCAGTCTCGAAATCATGAGCTGATATCGATTAGAGGACGACTGGAAAACCTGGACAGGTGCTCCGTCCCAGTCACAAACTAAGATTGAAGTAACTTCAGTGGTTTTTCTAACCGATGTCAGCTCAGGACAAAATCATGTAGTCAATCAAATCCCTGTAAACCGACAACTGGATCTTGGAATCAATCAAATCCTTAATAAAGAAACACCTAAAAGTAAAATCTCTTCGTTGATCAAGAAAAAACCAGTGGGAAACCATCTGTAGCATTTTACAGAACTGCGTTTGATGAAAAAAAGCAAGTTTTACTTGCCGTTGGTTTAAAGTTTGAATGACTGGACTATAATTTACCAGCCTAGTATTCTATACAGTTCCCTACCTGACCTGCTGTTACTAAGGTTTTTATTTCAATGTAGTAATCACAGTTGCTGCTGCTCAGATATTAAGTGAATGCTGGTTATTTGTCATTAAATGATATACACCCATTCCGTTCCCTCACTTTTAAAGCTATTTCAAACAGTCCCAATAAGTTTTCCGATTAAATCAAAGATACCTTCCACATACAATTTAGACAGAATGGGATCAGCAATCATAATAAATTTGCACAGAAAGACTTCATTTAAACAATACAAACCAACCTAACCAAAAGCCACCCTTTTCACAACATCCCAATCAAATCAAATACACTCAAAAGAATGTAATGTGTCTAGTCAGGTTTATTATTATTATATCCTTTAATTCCTAGAGGCTTCAGCTGCGCATCTCCATTGCCTTCGGTTTTCTGCCAACTTGTTCACCCCGCTCCAAGCCCGCCCACATGCTTTCATCTCCTCCTCACATGACATCCTCCAAGTCACCCTTGCACTGACGACCAACTCGCCGCTTCCCATTCAATACGGTTCCACTCGAGCAATGGCTTGTCTAGTGATGTCACTTGATGGTTTCCTCAGAGTATGGCCAGCCAATCCATCTCCATTTCTTCCTGCTTATTTGTCGCGCAATCGTTTCCTGGTTGGTTCGCTCATTGCCAGAGCCCCCTGTTGCTGATCTTTTCTTGCCGGCCATCTGGTCTTGAGCGAAGTGTTGAACGAAGACAGCTGTTAATGAAGGTCTGAAGTTTGTTTGAGATGCTCTTTATGACTCGCCAAGTCTCTGCTCCGTATAGTAGCACTGACTTCACATTGGAGTTGAAAGTCCGGTTATTATTTTTGATTCTGAGTGCTGTTGACCTTCACACAGACTTAAGGGTAATGAAAGCTTGCCTTGCTTTTCCGATTCTAGCTTTGATATCCTTGTTAGTTCTGTCCACCTGTAGTTGAAACGATGCTTACCAGGTAGGTAAAGGAGGTTGTTTAAGTAGTAGGTTGTAGTCAAGTTTAAATATTGTTAAACTTGAACAAAATATAAATAGGATTTCACACACACACAGTAGAGGTACTTATATCCATCCCTCTTACACTCACTCTTCGCTGATAATCATGTCCTAATGCGACAATGAAACTTACCTGGCCAAAATTGCAAATTAGCAAAAGAACTCAGTCTGACCGTACACAGGAGACTGGCTACTTATAAAGGTGAATTTATCAGCAGCTCCAAACCTGATATGCGTTGAATTACTGCAACTAATTCATGGTGCAATGCACAATTTCTATCGCGTCACTTTAAATACTTTTTATGATGTCACATTTCACAAGAACTATGCATCCTAGAATGACAGATAACCGTCCAACAGTTATTTGCTCCTCCAAATAGATGCTTCATATTGTGGTGACAGCTGGCTGCTAGCCAAATTGGAAGACAGTAATTTACGTCAATGTTTATGTCCCAAATATTGGTCGTGTGAAAACAAGAACAAAGACTGGCTCAACAACTAATCACAGCAGACTTTGAGTTGGTGGATACAATTACCAGAGAAGTGATCTGACATTCAAGAAACAGCAACGAAGAGATGAAAGATTAGTTTTCAGTGAGAAACAACCAATCAGAAAACTGTGTTTGTCTACTAACAATAATCTATAATAATGTTCATGAAAATCAATAAATATCTGTTGATTTCCTTATTAACCATCTGTTTCCTGCCCCTTGTCTTCTGTTGTTACAGTATGACCTAATTATCCCAGGGGAGCGTTGGTAGCAAAGAGGTTAGGACGCTCGCCGATCATGCAAATGGCCCGGGCTTTAACCCCCTGGCGAAGCACGCCTTTACCTCGCTAAGCCAGTAGTTAGACTGATAAAGAGGGAAGGTTGGGCATGAGGCTAGCAACCCCATCCTGTAAAAATAAACACTACTGCAGAAACTTTAAGCCACTAGCTTGGAGCCCTATGTTCCACTGGGAACGTGAAGAAAAGAAAAACCTGGAGGAGGATAAAATATTCTTTGAATCGACAAGGAAGAAAGAATGGTACCGTCTTTTAAAGATGCTTCACTTGTAATTGCGTCTGTAATTTACACTGAGTATGGATTTCAACACAAGATTAGCATACAATTGTCAACATTCGAAAGCGCCTACAGTTTAACCTTAACCAGGGAATTCAGGTCTATCTGTCTGTTTTCGACGTAGAACTTTGCTCTGATGTGCGGCAGTTCAAATCGCCACTCTCCATATAGCACACAAAGCAAGAAAAGCAAGTAGAAGAAATGCATACTAGAGACAGTAAACAGAGGTGTGAGACAAAGGAATAGTGATAACGAAGAACAAAACAGTTTCATTGGAAATCGTAAGTCACAAGGAGTGGATGCATCTGCGCTAGGCATTGAGAATGATTTTGAGCGATATCACCAATTGTTTCCAACCATAGATTTTTACCGTCCCGAGGACCCCAACCAATCAAGAAGTCTACACCTTCCTACGCGGCTTAAAATAAC